AGTAAAATGCTCAAGATCAAATTAGAGGATAGGCAGTAGGCATGTAGGCAGTGGAGAGCACACAGGTGTACACAGGTTCTGTCAAATCCTATCTACTTCCCTGTATGCTGGAAACTTTTTATAATGTCAGGGAAAAGGTTAAACAACAGATGAAAAGATGGATCAATGTGGCACAGAAGACTTTCGTTTGGAATAGATCTGATCAATATAAAAAGGAAAAACTCCATTAAAAACCTATAGCCCTGCCAACCATGTCTGAGAAGCTTGTCACACTACTGCAGAGACATGCAAGTATAATTAGTACCATCATTCCATCATCATCCACCAGCATATGGCTGACACTGGTGTCAGCGGTCCATCACAGGCAGGTGTCCATAGGATGCTACTGGTGTGGCATGTGCACCTGGCACTATCTTCCACAGCTGGTGAAGTGATACCCCTACCTTCCCAAACCACCACCGGGGCCAGATGCCTGTGAGCAAACTTACACCTGTTTTCTGGCTCTCATTGCACTGGTTAGTATGAAGTGGAGCTATTCTACAAAGATCTATGGCTTATTAAGAACCACCTAGAGCTTTTATAGAGGATGTAAATACACACACACATAGAGTGCAGATAAAGGAGTCTGGAAAGATCTAGATTCCTATTTGGGTGAAGAGGGAGGATTGAAGGGTGGCAGCCAAAACAACTTGATCTGAAATAAACCTAATTTGAAATAAATTAGTTAATAAAATTTACAAGGTCATGTTTATGAATTGCTCAATTAAGAGCACAAACGGGTTCCAAAACAAAAGCTCAGCACTTTCTTCATATCTGATTCAGAGCCAAAGCATTGAATCATGCTCACTTACCAGGACCTAACAACTTGTATCCCCAAGCTGGGTCTTATCACCAGCACCCCTGATTCAATCCATACCCACCTGCAACGCTCAATCCTCTCAGAGGATGGGGGCTGTGATCAACCCACATTCAGAGGCACTTGTGCCAGGTACTTGGGGATGGCCCTTGGGCTCTGAGCAGGTGTTATAGTGTCCAATCAGGTTTCTCTGAGGTGAGGAGAGTGGGTGGGGTCAACAGTGCCCAGTGGGCTCTCTAGCCCCCGTTCACTTCTTTCCCCCCACCAGCCTTACATGCCAGTGCTGTCATACTTAACTCTCCGGGCTGGACACCTGGCATTAGCCACACAGCCACCTCAAAACAGAAAAGCATTGTTGGCTTTTAAAGTGTAGGACATGAACTCTTCTTCAAGCTAGAAGTTACCTGCCTTATACTAATACATCCTGACCCATCAAGGGCAGATGTTATTTATCTGTACCTAACTTTAGCCATTTCTGGACCATTTGTGAAAACAAACCAAACAGCTCACCAAAACTAGTTGAAAGTTTTATTTATATAAAATTCATTAGGAACATAAAAGATCGAGTTTCTTAAAAAAAATCTGCAGTTATTTACAGCAGTATTGCACAAGTAAAGTGGCAATTACCCTGTCAAAATTCGTCAGTGCAAAACACAAGGAAGCCAGGGAAACTGCAATATAGACGCTACATATGCTGGGTCATGAGAAACACATCAGTGATGGGGTCAGTATAGACAGATCAGTGCTATTTATAATGGGTACCTGACAAGTTTAGATACAGTAACCAGTGGTCATAGAACCTGGACACAACATCTATGCAAAACTCCTAAAGGCTGAAATCCCCACATAAAAGTAGTCAAGTTCCTTAGCTGGGAGCTTGAGGGTGCTTCTTGAACACAATGTTGTGTAGGGTGAACCCCAGCTGCTTTAGCGTCATATGTGGACACAGCCCTGCACACCTGTGCTGAGCGGACACACACAGGCACCAGGCTAAAACAGTAGGGAGGACAGGGCATCTGTGAGAACTCACTCCAAGTCCCTGGAGCTTCCATGAACTTTCAACCTTAACCTCTTTCCCCCCCAGGGTCGGGGAGCTAACTTTGTCAAAGGGAATGGGCTGGAAAGAGGGTGTGTGCCTAAAGAAGCAGACTGACCAAATGCAGTGACTAAGGGTGGGAGCTGTGGACAATTAGCTCCTGGAGACCAATAATTAAGTCCATATTTCAAGGCACAGGAAAGCCACATGGTGAATGGTGAAAAAAAAATTCTCCATTTTTCACCAGATGCTGAAGGGATCTAATGATGTTCCTGTCCCTTTGTCCACCCTGGTCCTTCTGAGATGGAACATTTTTATTTTTCTCAACATTGAGTCATCAGGGATAAATTGTCAATGGAACAACCTTTCTCATTGGTCAATCATATCGCTTTTTTAAAAAGACATACCCTGGAGTTAGCAAATTCACTTGATAAGCTAGCTACTTTGGAAAAAACAGGTTGTTGGGCATTATTTTCAGAAGAAAATCTTATATAGCCTGTTGGACTTACAGTTTCTCATTGATATCTAAAGACAAATTTCATCCAAAGGGCACAAAATCTCAAGAACTGAATGACAGGAGGAATGGGAGCTGGAGACCTCTCCAGGGAGACCAAGTTATCCCCCCAGAGCTGGCAAGGTCACTACCTCCCATCTTGGGAGTGGAAGCAATTCATGGGATGGCAAGGCTGTGAGGAACAGGATGTCAACACTTTCAAGAACTTAAAGACATTAAATAAGCAGAAAATAAATATACAATATTTTTACAAGTTACAGCATTATGAAACAGTAGGACACATTACATAGAAAAAGAATCTACATTATTTACAGTCTTCGATTTTGGAAAGTTTAAAAAACAGTGATTTTCTTTTACTCTATTATGCTGTACACAATTTTACAAGAAAAGTACAGGAGACACAATTGCACAGACATTTGGCTCAGTTGGTAAGTAAAATATGACCTCCTAGTCTAATAAATAGATATATACAATATTAGGAAGGGAAAACAAGGAGAAATTGCAAGTGTATTTTAAAAAATTAATGACTTTTAGGCTGTTTTCTCCAAAAGCACCTCCCTTCCCCTCTCCTGCCCCCAATTCTCCATTAACTATCTTTGGGGAAGGGAATCCGAGGTCTTCTCAAGAAGTCATTGTATATTTATTGCATTCTCAGTATGAAGTTACAGGACACTTTTTACAAACCTCACATTCGAGAGAGGTTGTCAAGGCACAAAACCCGCATTGTTTTTGTTTTCTTATTTTTAAGGGGATCTAGTTCTTGTTCTAAAAAAAAAAAATTAAAACTAAGTAGAAAGTACAAGGCATACCGAGTAGGTGGGCATGCTTTCGGCAGGGAGGCATTTAATAAACAGATACAGTACAGAGACATCCAGTCATCTCTAAATTCTGGCACCAGCACTGGGGTCTTTAATACTTCCGTAATTCATAGAATTCCTCATTTCCCACCAGCTGCTGCTTCCCGGCCAGGAAGCTAAAGGTAAGCACGCAAGGGTGGCACATGCACCCAAGCACCTGGCATGGAGAGCCACCAGCAGCCACCCAGGCTGCATGCACTCCCAGGGAGGTCAGATCTGAAGAAAAGTAAAGTGCTCCAGTCAGAGAGACTGGCACATGAGCACGGAGGTCCTAGGAGGGGGATGGCCCAGAACCAAATACATCTTTGGTGTGTGTGTGTGTGTGTGTGTGTGTGTGTATGTGTGTGGTGTGTGTGTGTGTGTCTAGCAGGGCCACGGCTGTAATCCTAACACAACTCTACAACTGTGGGCTGCATGGGACCCCATAAGTGGGTTCAAGACACATCCAATACACAAGCTGAGCTCCAACACAGCTTTCAAAGTATTCAAAAACCCCAAGAAGATCCTAGGGGAAAGAGAAGTTTAAAGAAGGAAGACTATTTAGAATCAAATGATTTCTACCTAAAGGAAAAAGCAGAGACAATATATACATACATACATACATATATATATATATACACACACATATATACATATAAACTTATAAAGATACAAACAAATGGAATTCCACTTAACTTACTAACGTGAAAACACTGATCTTCTATGGGGCAAAAGTACAATTGTTGTTGGCAATGCTGACTTGCTTGACATCTCATGTATTTCTTTTAGAAAGTTGGTTAATCACTAGTTTTCAAAGATAACAAATTACAGGGTTCAAGCTTCCCCTCTTCCTCCTGTTGCTGCTGCTCTCTCATCTGTGTTTGTCTTGGGTCTCCCCGATTGTTTATTTGCTTTTCTATTGTTTTATTTTGGGTGGTGACTGGAATTGAACACAAGGCTACACATATACTAGGAGAGCAGAAGGCAAGCATTCCACTACAGGCTACTCCCCCAGCCCTGCTTGCTTTTGAAATGACTGCGGACTGTAGACTTCCTGTGCACATGATCCTAAGGGGGTATGAAAGAGCTCCCCATGGAGTTAAGAGGCCCAGTAGTCTGATTAAGAAGATGGGAACACAAACAACCATCTTTCAGCAGGCTGAAAGGAGCATTCTAGACTCTGCCTAATGGAGCTGGTTTGATGATGCTGATCAAAATAAAGGGCAGCCTCTATTTCAAAGTGGGCTGACAGGAGTGGGGAGGAAGTGCAGGTTTCACAGGTCTGAAGGCTGAGCTGGATTAAAATCCAGGATGCCTGGAAAAGGGCCATCATTATTAGTCTGTGGCTTGGGCCAGTCTCTACAAGGGCACAGCATGGACACAGCAGCACAGGGAATGGTGACCATCTGGGACTTGATGCAGTGTCCCTATGCCAGTGAGAAACCTGCAACCAGAAGAGCCGACAGCTCCCAAGGGCTGACACTCCTGTTCAGAATACTAAACAAAAGCCCATCAGAAAAAAGCAAAGCCATCAGGCACTTCCCACTGGACAGCTACTAACAAATCCATGGAACTGGAATGATCTTGCTCCAAACAATGTATCTCAAGACAGGCCCAAAGTGTTCCCAAAGGAGCTCAGCAAAAACAATTTGAAGTTTTACCACCAAGGCAACTGAAGTTAAGTAGGTAATTAAATATTTACAAAACAGGGGTGATAAATGAAACAACAGTCTTTGCCCCTTTAATTCATTCATTTCATAAGAACTCTTTTGGTATTAATAATAATTAAAAAAAGAAAGCTCAAAGAGGCAATGGCAGGGAAGGGAGGGTGATATCTACCTCTCCCTGTTTAAAAATTCTGTACAGTATTCTCTAAAAATAAACTAAGGCAGCTTTATAAATTAGCTGGCTCAGTTTCCACTGCAGGGCTAACATAATCCTCTGAGAGTAGGCAATAGGTCCTTAAATTTTTAGTACAAAAATTATTCACAAAGTTTCCATTTCCTTCTGGGGAAAAAAACCCCCACAAAACCAAACTGTTATTAGAGATGGAAAACCCCCCAACATGTAAACACCATTCTGGTACATAATCCTGCTCCAAAGAACCATGATTTGTACATTAAAAAAGAGAAGAATCCTCCTCCATTTACATTCACAACTAACTTCCCATGGAAATTCTGCCTGGGGTGACCAACAGGAAGATCCAAGTTCACATCCAACATGGTGCAGTGTCTTCTGAGCATGTGGCCTGCCCTCAGCCGCTGCAAGGTGATGGCAGCACAAGACCAAGAGACCGCACGCAGTACTGGGGCTTGTCAGCTGAACAAGCGCAATGTCTGCAATGGCTTGGCTTTGCAGAGACTCCGTCAATGCATTCTCCACACCAGGCGAATGATGTAACGTAACAGCCGTAAGATAACCATTTGGGGTTGGTCTTCGGCTGCTTGGTAATTATTCAAAAATACCTGCAACAATAAAAGCAAGGCTTTTTAGTTCATCCCTGAGGTTTGTGTTTTATTGGGGGTGGGGGGGAGAGGGAAAAGAGGGTAGGTCGTGGGGATTGAACTCAGAACTTGGCCTGGGCGCTGTCCCTGATCTCTTTTGTTCAAGGCTAGCACTCTACCACTGGGAAGCACAGCTCTACTTCCGGTTTTCTGGTGATTAATTGGAGATAAGAGTCCCGTGGACTTTCTTACCCACGCTGGCTTTGAACTCAGATCCTCAGATCAAGCTAGGATTACAACTGTGATCCTCAGAACTCAGCCTCAACTGCTACAGAAGGTACCTCTTCAAGAGCACCTGTATTCTCCATAGCAAGCAGAACTCATTTCCATCTCCCCTGCCAAAGGAGGTAGGTAGTCCTTGCATAAAGGACAAGCATGCTAAATGACTCCTTCCAACAGGGGTAATGTTGGTAAATCTCAAGAAAAAAAAAATCCTTGAACGTCAGTATTTCAGATGGCATATTATTCAGTGGGTGCCAGACAAAAAAGCCCTCAGGAGGACTGGCGTGTGTCCCATGTGGAGGGACAGGAATAAGGGTGGGGGCAGGGGCAAGAATGAACTTGGTAGGCATGAAAGAACTGTGCTCTATCCATGTTCATTGACAGAAGGTATGTTTCAGACTAGCTCAAGGGTGAATTTCTGGTAGCTGTAAATTTATTTGAGCAACTAGTGGTTTGGGGGTAATTTGCCCTAAAAAGCTAAATAAGTAATGCAGTGACTGCCATTGTACCTCAGAGTGCTCTGGGTTACTGGGCTGGATAAAACGCTATGAATATGAAGTGTGCTCCCTGTATGTACACACACAGAGACACACACACACACACACACACATGCACACCTGAGTCAACACCCTCTCCCACAGGGGGCCTGGGAAGGAAAGAGCAGGGAAAAGAACATAAAAAATGCCTCTCTGATAGGGGTCTGGTGACTCAGGCCTGTAATCCTAGATACTCAGGAAGTCATCTGAGGATCTCTGTTCAAGGCCAGTCTGGGCAGGAATCAGTAAGATTCTTATCTCTAACCAGCAAAAAGCCAAAAGTAGAGCCGTGGATCAAGTGGTAGACTGCCAGTCTTGAGTAGATAGACTAAGGGACAGTGCCCAGGCCCTGAATTCAAGCTGGTGTATCAGCACACAACACACAGCACACATACAAATGCACACATGGCATGTGTGCAAGTGTTCTTTATGGCAAACTGAGAGAAACTGTTCAAGGGAAATCCCAGAGTTCAATGGTTTCAGAACCTCTAGGTTGGAGCTCATTCCGCAGGGCAGTACAAGGTGTCTAAGTTCAGAGCAATGGAAGAAGGCAAGAGAAGCATCTGCCTCACTGCTCTGGGCCACATTCTGTCTGTCCTCCACACACAGCCCGGCAGAGTGATAAATACTCCCAAGGCACCTCCCAGGGAACTAGTGGCAGTGACATCTGTCTCCTCTCATACCCCAAATATCCCCACCAGCACCAGCTACAAGGGGCCTCCCCTTTGGCTCTCAAGCGCTAATTAGACATTGGGGGCTGTGATAAGGCCAGGGCATTTCCTTCCATGCAAGATAGGAGGAAATGGGCTTTATGTCAAGGATCCCTGTAGCAGCGCTCCGTAACCACAGGTTGCGATGTTTATCCACTTTTACACACAAGATTGCTTTGTTTTGATTTAACTTTCAAAATTACTTTGCTCCTTCTGGGTGAGAGTAATTTAGGGGAAGGTTAATTTTGGCATAGACTAATATTAATAGGTTGAAAGAGCCTTATTCAAAATAAAACCACAACTTAGTAAAATGAAGAAAGTGTCTCATGTAATAGACCAGGCTGCCATCAATCCAAGGTGGGAAGCCTCATGTCGGCCTGAGCCATCGCTGCCATCAGTGTGACCAGAGAATGGAGCTGACCAGGTGCGGACAGAGGAACACCAGCCAAAGAATAGGACCATCTGAGGGCTATACTAGGAAGCTTCAAATTCCAGTACTGGCAATGTCTGAGGACAAAAACATCTTATGCCCCCACCTCTGAGGACAGTAGGAGGACAATGGCGATGTACCAGCAAACGTCACACACATACAAAAAGTATTCAACCTTCATGCTAGGGAGCAGAGGTGGGGAAGGTGGGGTTACTTGGTCCCAGAGTAGCAAGCAAGGCAGCAGTCTTGCTAGGCTCAGGGATGCTACCCACTCAGGCCATAGGCACAGCAGCACTGAACATTAGTGAACAATTGCTTCTGGGAAACATTCAACAGAGGAAGCTGTTTGCACTGATTCCAAGAGCTGTGCCAGCCCAGAAAGTCCTTGACAGCTGGCACAGCGGCTGAAGCTGTTGCTGGCTCAGGGCATATGGCCCACACTGTAGCCAACAGCTGGAGGACAATTGTTCTGCTTCAGCAGGCTCACCACCCTGATACCTGTGGTCCATAATCAGTGGGGGGAGGGGCATGCAAGGGGAGGGCAGCACCACACAAACTGAGCTGAAGGGTGAGGATGAGGTCCCAGGACCTAACATCTGGGACCCTGTAGATGGCCAACAGTGGTGACTAGTGCAAGTTAGGTCCAGGAAAGCTTTCTGTGATGCCCTTGTGAGGACCTACAGCTATGACTGAGCCTTTGGCTTTGGGCTCAGACCAAGACTCCAAGACAGGGAGCTCAGTGAGCAAGGAGCCCAGCAACATATCTAGGATGGACTATGCAAAGAGTTAAACTTTAAAATAAGAAGCACCTTGACAAGTAGAAAGTCATCCATTGAACAGTGCAGTGGTGGAAATGGAGCTGTGACTCAAGTGGTAGCCTTGAGTATGAAAGCTCAGGCAGGGACAGTACCCAGGCCCAAAGGATAGCCACAAAAGCAAAGCAAAACAAAACAAAGACCAGTGCAATAGTAAGACTGACCTAGGTACTGTTTGCTGTATGTTTTAGGCTGGCACCTGATGCAGACCTAGCACAGTCACCTAAGTATACTACAAAGCCACAGTGGCTGGCCTACGTTAAACATCTGTCTGCACTGGTGGCTGTCACTTCGGACTCCAATAGGTATAGGTGTGTATGGAGGGCTTATCTCAGTCCCTCCTCTCCTCTATTGGCCAATGGGGATTGTCTTTCCTGATTAAAGCACTTAAAATGAAAAACATAAAAGTACAGCCAGGAAAGATATCTCCCATCTTGCCTGATACTTCTGTATGTCCCCTCTAATTTATATGAGCCCCAGTACCTCAGCAAGGGGAAATGAGGTCTCTAGGAAGGTGATTGAGATGGGTCTGAACCCGAGGTATGCTTATAAGAGATTAGGACAAGGACACATTAGAGGGGTGACTATGTGCAGATACATGGGAAGAGCACCTATGGGTCAAGGGACAAGAGCCTCAGGAGAAACCAATACTATTACCACTGGGTCTTGGACTTGTGGCCTCCAGAACTTCAGAGAAAACCTCTTGCTGTTGAAGGTACCCCCTCCATGGCAAACCTACCATTCACGTTGACCACTCTCAACCCTTTGCCCTTCTTCTAAATGAAAAGAACACTTCCTAAGTCAGAGTTGGGTAACTCTGCTTCAGTCTAAATTGCAAAAACACTTAAGTGATCTATTACAATGATGCATTGGAGCCAAGGGGACAATTTAAAAAACCAAACCTGCTATTATGTACAAACAATTTATGGGACCTTGTTGCAGTCTCTCTCTCTCTCTCTCTCTCTCTCTCTCTCACACACACACACACACACACACACACACAGTTCAAATGTCCCAACAGCAGTACCTACAATGTCCTTTTATCTCTAGGAGCTACATGTGGGCTGCATCCTTTGGGTCACAAGACTTGTACACTGTGCCAGATGCCCAGAGATGAGCCCTTCAATGCTCACAGCATGACTCCCTAGGAGCCAGTCACTGGCAGTTTCCGCCCCTGTATGAGCCAGAGCCCTGGCTGTCTTATACCACAGTAGGGGCCCATTTCACAGCATGCATCGGTGTCCTCACCAGGCCTGCCCAAGAAAATAAACCAGATAATAGGTCAGGATAATACACAAGTCAGGAAGGCCCCAGCGCCAACCCCAGGCTGAGCCCAAAGTAAATTTAGGATGAGAACAACCTGGAGGAAGGAGGAAAGAAAGGTAGTCCAGGTAGAGACCCTGGTGAGCAGAGGCAGGACAGCTCAGTGGAGGATTTTGCTCAATTAGGGCAAACAGGCAAGGGCTGTGTAGTGAAGAAGCATAGAATAAACTATGTAAAACAATTGTGAGCTGCAGGATTCGGGGGTGGTGGGGCAGTCTCCATGTTTCTCTGCAGTAGACTTAGCCACCCTTCCCTGAAGACATGTGGCAGTGTCAGAGGAACAGGACAGGGACTTCTGGACAGCTCCTATACAGGACACCAGGAGACATGGGCTCACTGGGTGCTTATGTAGAAGGGCTGGGCTAAGAGAATGCCCGAGGGTGGGGCTGACTTACAAGACTGGTAGCAGCCAGTACAGCAGAGACCACTAAGGGTAGAATCAGAGTGAGAATGCTGGAAACTATGACCACCAAAGCGTCAGATACCCCATGTGGGGCTGGGCGGGACTGCACATAGATAGCCACAAGCTACCACTGCAGTCAGAACACTAGGACCACCTTCAAGTTTACATATGGGTCAACTGTGCCAATATCCAAAATAATCACAGCAAAACAGGGCTTTCTTGCTCCTCCCAAGGAAAGGGTGCTTAGAAACAAAAAGATACCTGACCTCCGGGTGCCCAGGGGGCCTGGTCAGGCGGACCACAAAACACCAGCAGAATGCAGCTTTCCTTAGAGCAAAAAGAGCTTTGCTCAAGTTTGAGGACAGAATCACACATGGCTATTGCTGGATGAAATGGCTTAGCACAAGCTTTTGAGCCTTCAAAACATCCCATGAGCCAATATAGTTCTCCCACAGTAGCTAGAAGTGGCAGAGAAAGATGGTGGTGGCTGGGAAGGTGGCTCAGTGGTAGAGTGCTTGCCTT